CCTCAGGGCGGGCTGGGCCAGGCTCGTTGTCTCACAGGGACGCCGGGGGCTCAGGCCGCCCGTGGGCCTGCGCTGTGTCACGCGGGAGTGTAAGAGGCACGGCCTCGCTTCCTACATCCGTGAATGCATCCCCAAAATACATCCCCAAATACACCCCCGAATGCATCCCCGAAATACACTCCCGCATACAACCCCTAATACATTATCAAATATACCCGAAATACATCCCTGAATCCACCCCGGAATATACCCCAAATACACCCCCCGAATGCATCCCCAAAATACACCCCTGAATACACCCCCCAAATACATCCTAAAATATACCCCCAAATACATGAATACACCCCCAAATGCAGCCCTGAATGCACCCCGGAATACATCCCACAAATACACCCCCAAAACGAATATACCCCAAATACATCCCCAAATGTATCCCCAAGTGCATCCCCAAATACACCCGCAAATGCACAAATAGACCCCCAAATGCATCCCTGAATGTACCACTGACTACATCTCCGAATACACCCCCTGAATTCATCCCTGAATGGATCCCCAAATACATCCCTGAACACACCCCTGAATACATCCCCAGGCTCACTTCAGCATTTGGCCTAGGGGAGGCTGAGCGCAGTGCTCGTCAGGGCTGTTTGAAATAAAGACAATGACATGAATTTAAAAAACAAAACAAAAAAAAAACGATTTTCACATATTTCCCTTCCTGCTAAGGGACCAGGCTAGATGCTTCCAGTATGGGGTCCCAGAGAGCGTCCTCTCTGGCATTATGTGAAGGGAAGGGGACAGGCCAGCAGCCCCCGTGGCAGGAGGCACCCCACCTGGTTTGCAACTGAGGAACGGCAGCAGGCTTCCAAAAGCAGCTCAGGAAACATCTCAATAAACCTTAAACCAGCCACTATGTTTCCCCTATGTACAAAAGCCTACACAGGGCAAACGCCGTGGACCTTTGCCCTCCCCTCCCAGCTTCCCTGGCTGGGGTCCCAGAACCAGCAGGGACCTGAACAGGGCAAAGAGCAAGGCCTACAATGAAGCAGAGGCCTGAGGTGTAGGAGAAAGTAACCTGTTTAAATTCGCTGATGACACCAAAATT